TGCTTTCCTCTTAGAGACAATTATATGTGGGTGGTTGGAGTAGACAAGGAGTGTATCTTAATATTCCACAGACAAGAATATCCTGAATCAGACCATATATCTGACAGTGTCTAAAATGAAAGGTAAAAGCTTCCATTATTAATGACCAAGTGCTTCTTTGGGATATAACTCCAGGTTTGTATCTACACTTTAAAGCATGAGGTCATCAAAGTAAAAACAATCTTGTTACTGGTTATAAAAAATGTGGCTTTGCTATCAGGTTAACTCACAGTCAAGCTTCCACAAAAGTCTTTATTTATTTGATTATCCCCACTGCAACTTTATCTTGAAAACTGGCTTTAAGTTAGAAGAGCCTGGACACTGGTAAAGAGCTGTCAAAATGCAAGCTCATGTAACCTACGAGGTTAACTCTAGCCAGCAAACTTCATCTTCGCCAGTGCAACGCTGGCCATGTGCTGCTCTTCCTATCATGAGGGCAACATTTTGCAGAGGTGGTTGTTCTAATGCAAATTTTTTCAACAGTTATGTCAATGTGGACAGTCACAAGAATCAGTTAGGTAATTAAAACATCTGAACTCATCAGTTCCAAAAGTCTCAAACGGAGAGTTGATGCATTATATTGTCAGAGGGCCTAGTCCTGCATAAGACTGATGAATTTAAGGTCAAAGTAACATTAATTGGACAGGTCAAAATTTCTATTGGCTATTTAAAAGGTTCAATATTTCTTGATTACATTAATAACTGCAATGGTGACTTGTGCTTATGCTTTTCTTGGTTGCTCTTTGAAGTTAGTCTAAATAATTCTGCATGTGAATTAATCTGAATATCCAAAGATAACTTCATAAATATGGGGAAGTACTGGGAAAAACTGATGCATCATCTAATCATGTGTCCTGTCCTCCATGAGGGTATAAGAACAAGTTAATAAAAGCTTTATTTCCTGTGTTATACACTCACTGTCCAAAAAGTTGTTAAATCATGTTTTTTTATCTATTTCTTTACTAATGATTTCTAACATGGTATTGCTTTTACACAATTGCTACATACTGAACTGATGCTTTTACAGAGCTGTGAGTCATAACCCCATAATCTCACTCCTGGGTGGTAATGGCCAGCTCTGAAACCATCATTTTACATATGAAAATAAATCTTATTTTTGTTAGATAGCATTTGACATTTATCTCACTAAATATGTATTTTTTATTTTATTAAACACTGAGCTTTATAAAGTATATTATTCTGTGACAATGGTTGTCATCTATATTATTATGAAAGTGTCACAAGCAAATTTAATCACCTTAAAATTTATAATCCTTTCCAGGTAATTTGCAAGAAAATAGAGTAAGGCCCATTTAAATCAGTGTTCTTTGCACAAAATAATCTACGGTATTCTGGAAAGAGCATAAAAATTAAAGCAACAAGAGGAGGAACACTTTGAATATTCTTCCAGAATCCAGCAGTGTATCATTTGTGGACCTTAGCAAATAGAGATGAAGATTTTATATGTAGAACTTCAAGATGAATATTTCTTCTATTAATTTGTTTGCTTTCCAAATCCATCTCAATTTCTACCATCCACAGGCTTCTTTAAAAAGCCCAGAGTGCAATCACTTCCCCACACTTGAAAAAATAATTTAGACAAAAATAAATTTAATTGACCAAATTTTACCTTTCCATCAGTGAACAAAGAATATTTTCCTTGGTTTTTCTTTTGGCCATGCCAATTCAAATGGTTCACTGATATAACAAACCCTTTGCAGTTTTCCCTAGTGGAAACTCAAACAGGGTTTTGGAGAGTTAAAAAAATCTGTGCTCTCTTGTTCCAGTGGAAAGCATTTATTTCAATGCTTTCTGTTTTGATAGCATTTCTATATGTTTCATGGTAAGGATAATGGTCCTTGTAATAGTATAATTTAACATTGTATTGCCATTCATTTATTGTAAGGAACTTAGTGAGTATTAAACTCCTGTATGCATGTCAGGTAATATGAAAGACATGGCACATGGGCATACATGTGAATATAATCACTGAAATAAAGAATTTAATTTCTATAAGTTAACCACAGAAATTCACAAAAAGCATACAAAAGGCCAGCATTTTTCTTTCAGGTCCTAGCATCTTCAGGACTGATGAAAACAACATGCAAATGGCTATAAATAATAGAGTAAATAGAAGTTAAAAAAATTGCACCCAACTTGAGAAACTAAAGAAAAGTTAAACAATCCGCATGATATCATAGGATTTAACACTGCAGCTGAATTCTGCTTTCTGAGTCTATATAATCAGGTGATGATGCCATGCTTCCTGTAATTATTATTATTAATACTAATTACACTGCATCAGGAAAAAGGTATTGAACAGTGAAAAATTTGTAAACTTTGTTGGTTGATCTCTTAATATAAATAAAGGCTTCCAAAGTAAAAGAATTGGGTATGATTATCTTGAAATTGTCTGCTGTAGAGAATAGAGAAAATGGGGCCTTGATATGAGCTTTGTTCTTAGGCATCCTGGAGTACTCACTTCATAAGAGGGAAATAGATGAGAAATAGTTCCGAAATGAACTCAATTGACCTTGGCAACAGGCGCACTAATGGCTCTGGGAGTGGAGAGCAGGGCAGGCTACTTAATCCTCAGTGTCAGAAAGCAATTAAATCTGCTAATTACCAAATTATGTGTTCAAATGCTCAAAGGCAAGCATAAGCAGTAATGATTAACCATTTTGCAAAGAAATTCTCTCCTCTCTCCAACTGTTCCTGAGTATTCCCAAAAGATAACATTTTCACACAGGAGCAACTTCAGCTAACTTAATGTCACACTAAATGACAATGATAGCCTTTGCTTTCTCCTTGGAGATGGTACATTTATGACTCCCAAGTGTCAGGCTGTGAGACTGGACACTGTGTTTAACACAGTCATAACCATGATGGTAATGAAATTTAGATAACTGAATTTATTGTCAGAGCTGCCACTGGGGAATGGAGAGGTAGAGTAACTTCCAGAGTCTTGCTTTTCAAAGGTGAAGAGGTGAAAAATTAAAAAAGAAAGAAGAAAAAAAAAAAAGAAAGAAGAAAGAAGAGAAAAAGAAAAAGAAAAAGAAAAAGAAAAAGAAAAAGAAAAAGAAAAAGAAAAAGAAAAAGAAAAAGAAAAAGAAAAAGAAAAAGAAAAAGAAAAAGAAAAAGAAAAAGAAAAAGAAAAAAAAGAAAAAGAAAAAGAAAAAAAAGAAAAATAAAAACTTGTAACTGTTAAAATAAACTAGTAAATCCTGAGATATTGCAAAAGCACAAGACCCTATACTGTCAAAATAAATGTTTATGAGTTTTCACCTTCAAAGAGGAGCTCACTTTTGGCAGAAAGTTTTTGCCATAATCTATACAAAGAGAGCTAAAGAAGAACTTAAGTATTCCTTAGCAGTCTTTTCTAACATCTTTCCCTAAGCTCTAAGAACTCAGCCTGCTGAATCAAGCACATGAAGAGGTTATTGTAAAAATCCAGTGCACAAGAATAAACCTGGGTTATTTATATGAAAGTTAATCTCTAAGTGTCAATAACTGGTCAATGCAACATCACCAGAACAAAGTCAGCTGCATTCTTTCCAAGTAATGCTGTTCCCTAGCAGATTTATTATCCTCTCATACATCACAACAGCAGGCTTCTGGAAAGAGGAAGAGAAAGAGCTTCCCTAGAAACATTTGATTAGCCTTTAATTAACTTCTACTTTGCTGTGAAGCATCCATGTAGTTAAAGAGAAGGTGTAAAGGAAAAGCACAAAGAAACACAGCTGAGGAATAGCCCCTGCACGTGTGTCAGCCTCCCACTTGGTTCCCATATTCCTTTGAACCCTATGCTTTTGGGGTTAAAATGAAGAAAAATTAAATTTCCTGATTTTTTTACCAAGTTTTTTCTTTTTATTCTTTTTTTCACAACTAGAAGCATAATAACTTATTCAATAGTGAAGGGTCAAAACAGTTGAAATAATTTTGCAAGTAAAGAGTGCTGAACTGCTGTGGTTTGACTACTGCATTGAAATTCATGTCCTGTGTTCCTTGTGTCTGTTAGTTCAGCAAGTGTTGACAGTTCAGAGTGTGCAGGACTTGGTATGCAGATGAGAGAAACTTCACTGTATGAAGCGTAATTTTAAAAGAAAACCTTCATTATCTCTACTGTGAAATATCCTGCCGTTTTGAGCATTTTTATTTTTTCTAAGTTTCCAGATTTTTGGAACAGTGTTTTTCAACACTTTCTGCAAGATCTACTGTATGAAGAAACAGACTGCAGAGAAATAACATTTTTCATTACACTTAAGCCTCTATCACTCTATCACCTCTATCACCTCTATCATTTCTGTCCACACAGCACCCATCTATTCTCTGCAGCCTGTCTTTGCACTGCAGTTCAAAACACACAGTAAGTTCAAGTGGGTCTGTTGTGTTATCTCTGGTTTTCAAAGATACCTAGATACGTATTACACTTATAAATAGGTGTCATTTACCCTTTGAGACAAAACTGTAAAATCTAGACTATCTTTTATCTGAATTTGTGCTTCCTTTTCTTCCGCCTAGGGTATGCTGAATGTAAAATGGCTTTTCATAGGGTTTTAAGTCACAGGCGCTTGCAATCACAAAGATTGAATGAGAAATATAACTTCATTGTTTCTCGATTTTTAATCTAAGTGTTTGATTGCTTTTTAAAAAATATGGCAAAATCATCACTTCTAGGAGCACATATCATAGAAACACAGAATCATAGAATGGCCTGTGTTGAAAAGGTCTTTAAAGATCACCTATTTCTGATCCGCTTCCATGGATACCTTTCCCAAGACCAGGTTACTCAGAGCTTCATCCAGCCTGGCCTTAAACACTAGGCCAGGGATGGGACATCCACAACCTCTGTATGCAATAAATCAGGGGTAATATGCAATACTAGAGTCATATGAGAAAGCTGTGTTTCATGTTTACCTCACAACAACTTTGTGCCACCTGTAAGATTCTAGAGGACTTACTTTTCCAATATTCAAGTCTTGAGTAACTTTTATCTAATCAGCAACACAGCACAGCATCTTATTCATCTTCTTCACATCCTTGATGGAGCTTCCTACAATAGTAATAGATGGGAAGACCAAAGACTCATTAATATCATCTGTACTTAAAAATTATGGGGCTTTATTGAATATTTCATAACCTTGGTAGTGTTGGGGATTTTTTTTTCCATGCCAAAAAAGTTACCCCTTATTACACAATTAAGTGACATTTTTAAAGAAGGCTGAGAATCTCTGGAACACAAGATCTCTGTAAAATAATTATTGATGAAACCCAGATTTTAATTGAGCATTTTAAAATTAACATGCTTTAATGATTTAATGTGTTTGTTTAAGTATATAAGTTTATTTTAGGAGATGCACAATTTGTAAGAGGGCTATATAAGAAAATATACCTTCAGAATATTTAATAATTCTTAACATTTTTTATGCTTATAGACTAGTAATCTTTGTTTTTAGGTTCCATTAAGACTATCAAGATACATGCAGGTGATTCTGAGACAGCCTTACTTGTTTAATTATTTTTCTAAATTTATAACATTAAAAGCAAATTTTGAACTTGTTGACTTCCTCAAGTTCTCACCTGGTAAATAACTGGTTTTTACTAATTCATATGGACTACAGTTGTAGCAAGATAACATTCAGTGACAGGAGTTAATAAATGACCCTACATATGAAATTTTAAATATTATACCTAGAATAGATAACAAGTGGAGGGTCATCAGTAACAGCTTAAAGTGTTCATCTGTGACTACCATTTTTGCGTAGTAAATTCATATTTATGCATCTTTTATATATTTATCCACATATATGTGACAGTGCCTTATTTTCTACCCTCACTGAACCATTTCCAGAATTTCTTCCATAGTTTCCCTATTTTTCAAAGTGTAATTTGAAATATTAGGTAATTTAAATTAATAAGTTTCACAGACAATAGGAGAATCATCCAGTATTTGAGAAGTATCTAGATATAAAATTCCTGGATACATTGTTGGACTTTCTTTTTTCTGCACAAAAACAGAGAGGTGCATTGACACAGTACTCTGTAACATTTTTAAGTATCCAAAATACAATGAGCAAAAGTACTTTTCCAAAAAACATTCAACCCTCCAGCCTCTGCAAGTCTAGCCTCACTCACTTATGATGTTCCTGCAAAAAGTGTTAGCATGATCAGTGGATTGAAAACTTCTAAAATTGGCTGGAAATACCATATAATCCTTTTCCCAGTTTAATGGAAAAGGGAAGCACTGAAGAGATCGTCCAGACTGAATTCAATGAAGGCCTTTCACAGTTAGACAGCGGCTCCTTGGCAACAGACTGCATTTCTCAAACAGGGAGAAAGAAAATGGATTTTCATTCTCTAAATGCTAAGATGATAAAGTTATTCAGTGTATTTGAAATTAGCTCCTGCAAGTATTTTGCCCTATGAGTCGGTAGAACTCCACAGAAGTTTTTGTTGCTGCACAGTGAGGTGCCATAACAATGTATATTGTCTTTCAGTTTTGTGTGTGTTCTTTCTCTCAATGTGAAATATTATGAGACAGCAGTGGGCTCATTTTATCTGGGCTATCCTGCAGTTGCCTTCTTATTTTCATTTTATTGTCTATGCAGAGAAGATGCCATTTAAAACTTTAATTGCCAGAGAGGGTTGTGAAATATTCACTGAGATTTACTGCTTTCCCTTTGTGATGTACCTTCACAGCAAAGTGACCCTGGTGGTTAGGAAGCATATTGTATAAATGGCAATTTAATGAGGGCTTGGAGAATATGAGGTCCCCAAAGAACACTTAATTTTGAAATTTTCTTGTTATGGAGTATTTTATGAAGAAATACTGGCAGGAATTCCAATGAAGATAACCTGGGTCTTTAGCCAGAGACATTGTGAAAAATGGAACAAAATTCTTAGTTAATACTGTAAAGACAGGCAAAATGCATATCCATGAAGCCAAATCTTATTTTTTAACTAAACTGATGAGAGAGGTACTGACGTGAAAAAATATCTCCATTTTTAAGATGTAAATAACCTGCATATTTTTTGAGTTATTGGTGAGAAATCTAATCATGGTATTCATGATTCACAGTAAGAATAATTGTTCAGAACATAACAAGTATGTTGATAGCTTTTCTGTTTTCAAGAACAGCATAATGCATAGTAGATGTATTATTTTAATACATAGATTTTCTAAAAAATTTGAATTCTGCTGCTAATCTGCATTTTCTGCAAGGCAGCTAAGCTGTTTCATTCATTTTATTGCTTGTTAACTTTGAAACATAAAAATGACCATTTATATGTTAATATTGGGTATTTCACTACTGATCACTTTTAGGAAGAACTTTCTTACTATGCTCAGTCCCATCCTGTTTTATTCTGCCGTTTACTGAGATGTTAAACTGCTATATTCCTTTTAAAACAACTTACATTGTGGGTTAAGCACAGGAGGCAGCTAAGCCCCACACAGTTGCTTGCTCCTCCCTTCAGTGGGAAGGCAAATTGGAACATAAGGGTGAAAGTAAAAAAAAAAAAAATATGGTGTGCTGAGATAAAGGCAGTAATAGGCAAAGCAAAAGCTACACAAAACAGCAAAGCAAAATAAGAGATTCATTCACTACATCTTATCAGAAAGCAGATGTGTAACCATTTCCAAAGAAAGCAGGGCTACATCCATGTGCCAGGGTGACTGGTGAAGACAAAAACAGAAACTCCAAAAGTCTCTTCTTCCCTTCTTCTTTTTCCTGGCTTTTATTGCTGGACATGAAATCATAGGATAAGGAATAACCCTTTGGTCAGCTGGGGTTAACTGTGCTGGCTGTATTTCCTCCCAGATTCTTGTGCATCCCCAGCCTACTCACTGGCAAGATTTTATAAACTAACCAGTTATATTTATTAATATCGAAGAATTCTAGTTTTGAAATGAGGGCCACATGAGGTTCTTCAAAGAAAGGGAATAATGTTACAGCAAGTCACTGTATATGCTGCATGCCCTGAATATCTTAAAGCTTGTAATATGCTGTCACTCATAGTATTTGATCATTAGTGTCACAGAAACTACCTTGAAAAGTCTGTGAGAGAATAAAATGCAGAACATAACTTGAAAGGTTAAATGTCAAAGCGGTACCCAAAACTATCTGTACATGAAAATCAGATAGTTATTTCATAAATATTTTTAGCCTTTGACATTGTTAGTGACCAAGACCTGAGAGAACAGGTGTCCCTTTCAGCTGCTGACAAATCCTCAAAGTCAGGTCACTTCAACAGTCTTTTCACTTTGCTTTTGAGATGGTGACAATTGAACACTCAAACAAACATCACCAAAGGTGAGAACCTAATTGGGACTGGAATTCTGCCAGCAAAATTAAATTATGCAAGGTCCAAAAAAAATCAAGACAATCTACACAAACCCAACCAAAGATAGCTGTTGTCCCTGTCTCTGTAAGACACATAAATATACACAAGTAAGACCAGTAAGTGCATATACATTTCTACTGAAAAATTAAAATCTTTTCTGGACTGGATGTATAAAATTCAAACTGGTCAGATCCAGCAACAGAATAATCATCATTTCTAGTGGCAGCTACAAGCGAAGTAAATAAATGATTTGTCAAAATGTCATTGCAAGGAGTGACAAACATTCACCCCTGCGCCCTCTCAGAATCCTCAGCCATATGCACCAGGAAAAATGGTGCTGCTGCTCTTGCACATTGTTTCCTCAGCAGGTCAGGAGCTCCTGCCTGTCACAGCAGCGGTGTGCCGGGATAGCTGATGGCTGCTGAGAGCCGGCAGCAATCCCAGCTGGACAGCTCCCAGGCTGCCATGGCCCAGGAGGGCCAGGAACCAGGAGCCAGTGTCCCTCACAAGCCCCCTCAGCAGCCTGACTTCCCCAGCCCTCTCTCCCCTCAGTCTCCACCTGGTATGAAACTGATTCCCAAGGGGTTCACTATCCATTTCTGGAGTCAGCACTCCTCAGTACTGCTGGAGGTTCCCCGTGGGGCTCCTCCACGCTGCCCACAGGCTGCGGCCCCTCAGGAGCAGGCTGAGGGCAGAGGCGCTAGGCCCAGAAGGAGAGCTGCTGCTGCTGCTGCTGCTGCTGCTGCTGCTGCTGCTGCTGCTGCTGCTGCTGCTGCTGCTGCTGCTTCTTCTTCTGCTGCTGCTGCTGCTGCTGCTGCTGCTGCTGCTGCTGCTTCTTCTGCTGCTGCTGCTGCTGGTGCTGCTGCTGCTGCTGCTGCTGCTGCTGCTGGCCGCTGCCAGCACGCTGTGTGAGAGCAGCGTCTGGGCACAAAACATGGGGAGTGAGGGAGGCAGGCAGTGCAACACTCAGCGAAAAATAACCCTGCACACCTGGCATGTGGGAACTGTATGTTCAAAACAGCTCTGAAGAAAAGAACACAAGTGTCCCAGCAGGCAGCAGACTGTTTGTGAGCCAGTAGTGCACCCTGGCAGCAAAGAAAACCAGATCCAGCAAAGTAATCCCTCTACTCTGCAATTGAGAAGACCAGGCCCATGTCCAGGTTAGGACTCCTGAAGCCACAGTGCAACTTTGTGAGTCTCCACACACAACCAACAACTCCATTCTTCCCCAAAGGTATTTTTTGATCATTGATGTCCTATCCCAAGACTGACCTTGTTTCTGGGCCCACAAGAGTGTGCAGTGGCAGACCCGACAGGATTATAACACTTGTCACACTGGGAATGCAGCAGTGGCAGCTGCAGCTGCAGCCTGTTGTCTCCAGGAGCTCTGAAAAGCTTATGGCTGTTTCCAAAATTTGCTGGTGCAGGAATGTGGCACATGAGGGCAGACAGATGGTCAGTGTGCCGTGCTGAAGGGTACCTTTATGGATGCTAGCTTTGGAACAGGCTGCAGGGAGCTGCAGAAAATGCAGGCCCATGGCCTCTCAGTCCTGCCTGAGAAGCTAGCCTGGGAATTCAAAGGAGGATTTCAAAACAATCCTCAGAGACAGAAAACAACTGCCAGGTGCTGTTTGTCTGTCCTCTTGTTTCTCCTTGCAGGAGAGAGTCAGGGGGGCAGAGTGCCCCTGACCAATGATGGTGATGTAGCACTTTGCTAACCAATAAGAGTTTCCTTTCTGTACTTTCCACGTATCTGTCTATAAGACAGGGCTGAAGCAATAAACTAAGGAATTCTCGTGTTGTGACTCCCTTGAGAGTCCAGTGTCATTCTTTCTAGCCGTTCCCAATCGGAACGACATACCTTCATTAAGTAGGCACAGCAGATTATGGAATGTGCTCCCAGCTGGTGCTGCTACAAATGCTATACAATGTTGATATAGCAAATTTGTTTTAAAAAGTTCTAGCCATGAGTGGGAGGATGCACACTGCCCAGATTAACAGGACCGATAATTCAGCTATTATTCCCTGAAGCAGGTCACAGGAACAATAATAGACGTACACTAAAGGATGCAAAACCGGTTCATTTAGCTATGGCCTAGCTGAGATTGATTATTCCTTCATTTGTGTTCTATCTTCTAAAATATCTTTAGACAGATTTCTAAAATTGTCTTTAGATCTTTTTGGAAGAGCATATTTTGATTCAAACTCCAAATTGTATCCAAACATTTTTCATGCCTTTTTTTCAGTTTGGGTAAAAGTATATTAGAGTCAATGTTAAAAACATCAGCCTGACTTGAATGTCTTCTTTCCCAGTAGCTGTTAAAATGATGATCAAAACTTTCAATAACCTCACACTGAATTTCAGAAATAAATCTAATCCAGATGGAAATTAAAATTAATTTTAGATTATATAGAATAATTTTCAGAAATAAATCAAAAATTTTTGAGGACTATATTTTGTGTCCCTGAATGTCACATGGAGAAGAAAAAAACATGACCTGTATAAACAATTATTTTATTCATTGAGATGAATTAACATATTTAATACTCATATCAGTAGTTAGTAAAGGCACTAAAGAGAACACGAATGCCAAGAAGTGAAGGGAAAGGAAAGGTAGAATTGGAGGTTTACCCTGACTAATGACAAGATCTTGAGATTATTCTCTTAAGAATGTATCATTAGAGCAGTCATAAGTGACAAGTTCAAATTTAATGAAAAGGGGCTTGATTTTTTTTTTTTTTTTTTTTTTTTAAATATGGGTTGCAATTATTTCTGTTTGTTTAGGTGTGTTCAGGCCTTTTTGGTCCTGTGGAAATATCCTCAAGAGAAACAGACTATCACTGAGGAGGTTTTTTACTAAAAAATTTTATTTTTATTGCCTGAGTTTAGAGATCAATGCAGCAGCTCCTGCATGTATAACAGTAGTTAAAGAAGAAAGATATTGAATATCAATGCCATTGTTCTATTTTTCTTGGAATTATTTTGATAAACTCAGTGTACCTGTCAAGGGTGGGTTAAAGACCTGGAGAATATTCTACTCTTTTTTAGACTGAAAAATTTCTGCTAAAAGATTTGTTTCAATAGGAGAATCTGTTTTTTCAACTGGTTGAAAATTACCTGCTTTTGTTAAAAAAAAAAAAGCAAGAAGACATTTTTAAGTTTTTAAAAAATTTCACAATAAAAACTTTAAAGAAATCAAAATGCTGTGGGATGAAAGAGATATTTAATTTTCAAGAGTGTGACTCAAAACATTAATTTTTTTTCCAATAAATTATAAATATTTTATTTCTTTCAAATGTCCTGGTTTTCTAGAATATTAAAAAATACAGATATTATCTGTATTATTGAATTAAAGAAAATTTTAAAGATACATGTTTTTTCCATTATGAGAAAGAAGACAAAGGATAATGAGTAGATATTGGAACTTGTAGTTGGAAACCTTATATCTTTAAAGATGTTTAGTCTATTTTAAACTTCAAATCCTGTGTGTCAGATACAATGAAATCTCTATTTTCAAAATCCAATCACTGAAGTAAAGCATCAGAATGAAGAGAAACAAATGAAAAAGTCACCCAGAACTGGTTCAGCAGGCTAATTTTGTCATTCTGGATAAATAATCTGTATAGATTTATCTGAGAAAGAAGAATAATCTATTTGAGTGTTTTCTGGGGCCTTTGGATGAGGAGGGAAATTCAGCTTTGCAAGTGTGCATCAGATTATCACTCAATACAGACTTTATGTCCAAGTTAGAAACAATGCTCAAGTGTTTATATATTACTAGCAATGTCAAAGGAGATAGATTTTTTCTTAGATCTTGAAAGATAAGAGGATATATAAATCAAGTGGGCACATATTATGAAGTGTTGTCAGCAATATCTCACCTTAGCTGGAGACATACTTTGTTTAGCCATATTTGTTTAGTCAGAAACATGAATGAAGCAAGAATAAATCACATTAATTTAAGGCATTTTGACTTAAGGACTGGTATTTTCAATGCAATTAATCAAGCTCAGGAACACAAAATTTCAGTATAAGGAGTTTTGGTGTTCATGTTATATTTTAATTAATTACATCACAGAATCAAAGTAATGCATAAAAACTTGTCTATTATGTATATATGGAAGATGAGAACTAGTTGAAATTATCAAAATTGTGACCTTCCTGTATCTGAAGGGAGCCTGCAAGAAAGATGGAGAGGGACATTATACAAGGCCATGGAGTGACAAGGGGGAATAGTTTCAAACTGAAAGAAAACTGAAAGGTTTAGATTAAATATTAGGGAGAAATCCTTTACTGTGAGGAAGATGAGGCACTGGAACAGAGTTGTGAATGACTCATCGCTGTGAGTGTTTAAAGCCAGGCTGAAAGTAGCTCTGAGCAACCTGGTCTAGTGAAAGGTGTCCCTGGCAGGAGGGTTATAATTAGGTGATCTTTAAAGTCCCTTCTAACCTAAGCCATTCTGATTCTATGATTTTGAGTCTTTTCATACACTGATCATGTAAAATTTCTAAGAGGTAAATTCATTAGGTAAAATACATTTTTAACATGATTTCTTGAAATAAGTGGAAGGTTTTTTTAATATCTGAAAATATAGAACTGAAATTTGAGCCCATTCTTGGGGTTTGGATTGAGAATTAAATACTAATGAAAAATACAATTTTAATTTCAAGAATCCTAAAGGATCAGTTGCTCATTAATCACACAAAGAAGGTTATGATTTAAGAGTAGATTTCTACTGTTAATTTATTGTAGACTTTAAAATTGTCCTCTGGTCTACAGCAGACATTACATCCAGTTGATTGAGAACTAATATTGCAGCATGGCATTTGAATATATTTGAAATTTTAAAAAAAATTTTGTTTTGAATAAATTTGAATACATTTGCATATTTGAGTTATCAGCAGATGAGAGTACCTCTTGTAACACATTGAGCTTTAGGATGGTTAGTCTGAGTACTTCAAAACAAAGGTCTTGCTAATTAAAAGTCTTTAATGTTAAGAAAGTTCCTTAGTATAGAGCTATTGAGTAATAGAGATAGTACCTTATATGGCTTGTTTTGTTAAAATTATTTTTAAGTTCTATTCTAGATTTTAAAATGCTTATGCTTTATGTATGTAAAGACTTCCTCTTTTTTCTTTCATTTTTTCATCCATGCAGCAGATGAGAGTGCAAGTATCACAGATTTTCTGACAGACAATATTAAGCCCACTAAGAAGTTTTTCTATTCAAAACTAGAAATAAAGTTTCAGGGCTAGAAAGATGCTTTGCAACTTGATTTTGTTCCCTGCTTCAATTTGTCTTTTAACCTTGGAATGTCTTGAACTCTCTCTGTTCCTGTCAAATGCTATAGGATATTACACAGAAAAGCTAATACAAGCTGTTACTGGAGTTCCTCTTGAGTTCTTGTGTCCATGTACATCATAGTGCTTCACCTCCATCAGGACTTTAGATAGCAATTTGTCTGTGAAGTCTCTTGTCCTTTAGCCACTACCATATAGATTTATATACTGTGTAAAAATGTATGGGAGTCATCCATGTATACAATGTGCATATATGCCCCCAAACATGGATACGTTCTGGCAAATAAATTCCCTGAGACTTTAACAACGCTTAGTTCAATCCTAGTTTCTTCAATCTCTCTGGAGAAGGGATTAAAGCATATATATATTCTCAGTTTTGTAAG